TCTTTAAATTATTACGATTAATTATTGTAAATTGACCATAAATTATAATATGAAATTAATAAATTAAGGTCAGAGTATTATAAATAACAATAAAAATCTCAATTATCTCATTATCCAATAGTTTAAACACATAGAATCACATTCACGTCATACGTCAATTTTATTGTAAACCGACCTTAAATTTCATAATATAATACAAGAATTAACTAATAGAATTATTAATTTAAAAGTTCAAATCATAAAAATAGTAAAATATATGTTTTCCCAGAAGAAATAACAAAAAACGGAATATATCTATCCTTTTCTAAAAAGTTAAATCCTCATAAATAAACAAATTCTCTAAATAAAAATTTGAAAAATATACTCAAATAGGATCAAATAAGTAATAACTTATTAAATCAAAGTATAAAATTCAAAATTTTGTAAAATATTGCAAATAATAACGAAAAAAAAAAAGGAATACTTCTATCCTTTTCTAAATTTACGTATAATGTACCTTTTACGAAATATACGCATTATTACAACAAAAACTGTAAATTACATGAAATAATAATATTAAACACTAAATTTTAAATAATTATATAGTTAATTGATAAATAAACAATAACTAACAATGTAATCCCAAATAAAAATATCAAACATAAAGGTACACTCATCAAAACTACTGAAAATAAAAGTCTCTAGATAAAACACTAGATGATAAATATCAATAAATATATCATGGTGAATTTAAAGCTAGTGACTTCACAAACTACTTAAAATAAAATTCCCTAGATTCCACAAAAATCTAAAATTCCCCATCCACATTTAAATTCATGCACAAGTGCAAGTAAAAATAATAATGAAACCCGTAATTATGGGCTTCTCTATATACACAAAGCCCATAAATGCGAGCCATGAGTATTATGCCCATATTTATGTGCTCAACTTGCGGAGCTCATAAATACGGGCCAATCAAAAAAAAAAAAAAGAAGAACTAATAAATAAAACACAGACACAAACAATTAAATTTAAAAAATTTTATTTATTATTAAAAACCTAAATTAAACATACAAAAAAAAAATTAAATCTAACAACTAGGCCCAAAACGGGCCTGACCAGGGAACAAGACGTATCTCGTCCCGTCCCCAGCGCCAATAATTTTTAAATTAATGTAAGGAGGGGGTATAAAAACCCTTCCCCCTCCCATAAAACGGGTCACCAAAATATTCTGGTAACCATAATCTGAAACATAAAAACAAAATACTATTAATAAAACATATTAAATATGATAGAAAATAATAAATTAATTAAAACAAACAAAAAAAAAAATATATAAATAAAATTATCACCTCCTTCATTGGGCCCAGCGTGCCTCCATCGACGCCCTTCCTCGTTAACATTATTATTATTTTCTAAAAGCACACAAAAAAAAAAAAATTTTATTAATTACTAATAAAATGAGTAAATATTAAAATTAAAAATATAATTAATTAAAACAAAATGTCACTCACCTCCGTCCATCTCAATGTTTTGTTTTCAAATGAGTCATTTTCAAAAACTGATGATCCTTGCAAATTCTGAAGAAATAAAAGCCCTTAGATGAGATCATGAAAAACACAGCATCCAAATCAAATCAACAACCGATAAATAAAAACAATATAATAATAAAATAATAATTCAAAAACAAATACAACTAACTAACAACAATATAAAATAACTGAATTCAAACACTAAACAACTAATTAATGAATCAAATTACCAACCGTCAAAATAAAGAAAACAATATGATAATATAACCACCAATTATCTAATATACCGACTGTTAATGAGACACGAAAATTCAAATTTTACCCCTATATTGAAGATAAATTTAACACAATATTATTAAAAATAATGTGATTATTAATTAATGAACAAAATGTTTATCAAGATGTAAATAATTATAAAAATCACATTATTACAAAACCTATATAATCATAAATATTATACTTATATTAATCACTCTATATAACAAGCAATATTACTAAAATGATAATTATATAATCAATACCATGCTTAATAAATAATTACAATAATTAATATATTACACCAAGAATTACATATTGATATTATTAAATAATCAATTAATATAACCCTTATTACTTATGAAAAATATAATTAAGAAATAATAATATTAAATAACTATATTACATTATCACCTATTATAATCAATATTTTAATTAATTATTAAAAATCATGAAGTAGAAAAAACACTTGGATCAAATAAAAACACTACTTCAAATTTTCATTAAAATTAAGAAATATAATAATCAATTATAATAATACCATGTAATCAATCGCCCAATATTACAATCAACTATATGTATAAATATAATAATCAATAAAACAAAAAAAAAAAATTAAAAGAAGGACGAAAGAAAAAGAAGGAAGGGGATTTGGCGGTCGCCTTCTTCTTTCCTCCTCATTTTAATAAAAACCTAAAATAAGAATAAAAACTAAAATATATTTGATGTTGCAGATGGAAATTCCATTTTTGGGACATATATCGGAAGCTGTTAATTATATGTCAATAGCTTTCAAAATATTATTATTATTGATAGCATTGATAGTAGTTAAAAACCTATACGTACTTTATAAAGTCGTAACAATGAGAAGACAAAGATCGAATAATCGATCCAACGTATAAACAACAAATATGGATTATTGGCCCAATTGCAGCCCACATACATTGAGGACAATGTACACTCTAAGGAAGGAGGACCAGGCCCAAAAATCCCGAAAAATTTGGAAAAATAAAGCCACTATAAGAGTTAAAACAACCAGGCTACTATAAAACTACAAGAAGCAGCGCGATTCAAATCAGCGCGCCGAAAACCTCAAGCCTACAACATCGATCGCATGAATAGATCTAAAGCTATGTATATATAGCGCATGCTTGATTCGGCAGCCATCATGAAAAAGCGGCAAATAATTTAAATTCAAATTAAAAATTTCGTAATTCATGATGGAAATCGAATAAAAATGCAAGGAAATTAACATTATTGCCTATAATTAATAAATATTCTTTAATAATTCTTAACTAACCTACAATCACTAAAATATTAACAACTAATCCTTATTAATCAATAAATAATCACTAATTATTAATTACAAAAAAAAAATATAAATTATATCTATATCAATAAATATTATATCATTCAATTTAATAAAACATAAACTATAATAATTAATGATTAATTAGAATAATACTATATTAACAAAAAAAAAATTTTTAAATTAATTAATTAAGTAATTAATAAACGCTAATAATTAAGATAGTTTAATTAACAATAAACAAGTTAATAAATAATAAATTGGTTAACTAAAATATTAACAACTAACAATTAACATAAAGACCAACTTGATTAAATAACAATGAATCAGATAAATATTTAATCAAAGTTGCATAATTAACCAATAAAATTAATAATAATTAAAATTACATAAATAATAACAATCAATATTAATTATAGAAATTAGATGAAAATAGCAAAAAAAAAAAAAAATAATAATATAAGGAAAATTATTAAAAGGAATAAAAATTAAAATTTAAATAAATCATATATTATAATTATTGATAATATATAATAACCAATCTAATAGATTTTATTAACAACATACTAATAAATTATTAATAAACAATATAACAATTAATAATTATTGTTGCTTTAAAAGTCATATTTTGATGAAATTAGTAATTAAAAATTTTAAATATACAATAATTATGTGTAAAAGGGTAGACAATAGATTAATACATTAGCCTTTGCTATTATTAACAGTTATTGTTAATAATAAATGGCGTTAAAAGTCCCAACGTTGAGCTGAAGATATCAGAGAAGCATGAAAGTGTAGGAGGATCTCTCGCGACACAGTGTGTGGTCAGGCCCACGCCTCCTTCCCAATGATTGTATAGACAGTCCCACGCCTCTCTTATACGGTAAGCAAGATCGAGCGGCATTAAAGTCTCCAGCTCATGCACAACTCGATGTCGCTTACACTCTTAGTATACGTGAATTCTTGATACGATTCTCGACAGATGGTCTCAATATTATCGAACCATAATCGATTATTATTAAAATATCAATACAAAACTAAGCACCACTAGGTGTCGTATCAATTATTCACAAGTAAATCAATAAATAATTAAAAATATCAATGATTTTAAGTCTTATTAACAAATGAAGGTTTTTCGTTCATAAAATTTATAATATTATTGATTATTGTTATTAATTATCAATTTAATAAAGACAATAATTAATTAAATGAAAGAAATTATGAGAAAATAAAATAACAAAACAGATAATTAGTTTAAAATTTCAACATATCTTTTACTACCAATTATTACGTTCAACTAGGCAATTAAATAAAATAAAAATGATTGAATTGATGTTTTATTAGCGGCAATGTATAATGAAACTAAAAATTTTATTATTATTTAAATTACGGTAAATTACGATGAAATAAATTCAAAAGGGTAAGGAATAATGGGACTCTGGCCGCATAGAAATTCAAGGCCGACTTCACCATTTAACTAAGCGTTGAAGTCTCTCGATCTCCGCTCGAACACATGAACATACTCCCTGCATATTCATGCTCCTCGGATACTTTCTTCTTGAAACTGAGCGAAAATAATCGATTTAATCGATCATAGAACTAATAAAAATTTAAATTGAAGTATATGAAATATATATATATACATATAGGTATATATTTAATGAAAATAATAAAAAGTCAATTATACAATTTATCAACGCAATAACTAGTAAACATAACAAGAAATATTTTATAGTACATAATTAATAGTTTAAAGTAAATTCTGAAATAAAAGAGAAAACATTTATAATTGATAAATAAATATTGATATTAATAATAGATAATATTAATTTGAGTAATTAAATAAGTTTTAAATGATTATTAAATAATTAATGAAATTTAGAATTCAAAATCAATAAAAAGGGATCAAAAGACACAAGGAAACAAAGTAAAACACCGATGATGTCACGTTAAATAAATTTATTATAAAATGAATTATTGTTAGAAAGTATATATATATGTGTGCATGTTTGTGAATATGTATAGGTTTGTGTATAAAATTATATATATAAAATAATTCGTAATAATTAATTCACTACGTCTATCTCTTCTTCATCGGATTCAACCCTCGTTAGGATTGCGACGTCACCACCACAAGCACATATCGAATGTCTCCGATCTATCAAGACGAATTTTCCACAACGACAGAAACGTCCGTTTTTACCCCGCAAACTGAAATAAAAGGAGAAAACACGATCTATAAAATTTCAAATAATTCACAAATGAGAGAGAAGAAATAAATATAGATTCATAAATTACCTTATGAGATTCGTCCTATTTTGTGATGATACAATAAGGGCTGTGACCAAACGCATCAATCTTTTTTCCAATTTCGACTTAAAAGTTTTCAATTTTCTCGATTTCCTCGAATCCCCTTTCACCACCGACCAAGAGGCTGACACCTTGCGAAAAACAACTTTCAGCTGCGAGTCAGGACATCTTATCATCCGATAATTTGGAATAAATCCTCGGGAACATCTTAACTCTTTTATTTCCCGGGATATCCTGTGTAATTCAGTAACGCCAAAAATTATTTGAGCCAATAGTTCTATTTTGAAGGGCCGACGAGAAAAGGCACTATTGAGAAAATCTGCAAACAATAAAGTAAACAAACAGGGGTGAAATATAATAAAAACTAACATCGTATCAAGCACACTCACATATACACATATTAAGAAAGAAAAGTTGATATTCACAAATAGTCAATATTGTATCCCCGGAATATCAGCAACATTTTACAGTTAAAAATTAATTGTTTTAAACTAGCAGTCGAGACACGCACTAAAACACCTTGTCGATTCGCGTCTAAGGCACTCACAATTATAAATTCATTTAAAGAATATTCAATGCCTGTGATATCACTAATCAAACGACGCACTGTTTCTGCTGCTCCCTCGACAGGCATTTTCCATATAGCAAATTGAAAAATGCCCATACGTTCTTCCAATTCCACCATGCGTAGTCCTATAAGTCTTTGTCTGGATACGTTAGCAGTCAATAAATGATCCAACTGTGGAATTATCGGAACATCTATTGGAATATTCGATGCGTGCCAATGTCCTTCTGATCTTGAAGTAGAAGGAACAGGATCAATTTCCCTAACTGTCACATTTTCCACTTGTGGCATCACAGTTGCTTGAATGTTATCAGTATTTCTCAATGGTTCAAGAACATTGAGATCAAATAAGTCCACATAATCTGACACATCATTGTCAATCTCTTCAATAGAATCACTCATATTATAAATAAAGAATAAAAAAAAAAAGGAAACAATGAAAACACACACAAATTAAAACAAAACAAAACTAATCAAAAAACACTATTACCATGAGAAACATCTCGATTTAACAATAGAGGAACTGGTCTCATTGTTTGAACATAAAAATCAACCAAATCAACCGTGGAAGCGTCACTAACTGAACTGTTATCACTCATAGCTAATGAAGAACTAATTACAAAGGACTTCAACAGTATAAGTGGGGACGACAGATCCTGATATCATCAGTCAAAAATTTGATGAGCATGAAGATTCTCACGATTTTGAACAACTCAGTTGGACCGAGGGATACCCGAGAAACCATGTTTTGAAAACAACTTACCTTCTTCTTCGCCATTCTCAATTTTGAACACGTACTGCACATGATGTATAATTTAAACACTTATCTATTACACTTAACTCAAAATGTTCTTCGTCAGCAACATTACATCTTTTATAATTAAAAAGCAAAATTGTAAAATTTATGAAAAATTTATGTACTAAAAGTACATGTCCATCGAGGACGATGAACAATTTAAGGAGGGAGGACTGTTATATCCCGACATATTTCAAAACTTATATATTTTTCATAAATTTAATAATTTCTTTAAATAATCAATTAAATAATATTATAAATGTAACATTAGCCATGCCTAAAAACATAATTTAAAAATATTACATTGTCATTTTATATTTCAAATTAGAAAAGCATAAAAATAGAAAAGCATAATTAAATATTTTGATATTTCATTCATGTGAGTCATTAACACTTGTTACTACTCATATGAATGAAAGAGTAAGATGAATCTACGAACTATGTTTTTACGACAAGTGTAAGGCCATGAATGAAAGAGATGACGCATGATAAAAAGAAAATATAAAAAGAATAAACGCATTCATAATGCATATACTTAATATTAATAAAATTAATTGGTAATTGGTTTATTGGTTCGTTCAGTTGTCGATGTGTAACATTATCACCAAATTGTAAATATAAATACATTCAAATTGATCGAATCAGAGATAAATCGATTATCGACAATCGATTAATCGATTATCGATTGTTGATTCGATTAATGAACTAAATATGCATATCGATGTTTGAATTGGACGAATAATGGATCTATTAGCAATTATAAAATTAAATAATCAATAAAATGAAGATATAATAGAATAAAAAGATCATATTACATATCGTACGTGCCTGAAATCGTGCATGGCGTACGTGACTAAAACGGTGCATGGTATACGTGTCTAAAACGGCGCGTGGTGAAAACACCCAAAACAAAATGTTTCCACCACTTAACATCCCCAAAATGCATTAGATTAGAAACTATATAAGCTGCTGTAAAAAGCAGAACGATTGTCAAAAGTTCCGGTGTAGTTCAGTGCGGACAGTATCATTGTAGAGCGACCCTTCGGTTAAAACGCGATTTATTGTATTCTTTCCCGTAAAAAGGTGCAAGTTAGATTATTTATCACTTAGAAACAAGTTTCTTTCCCCTAAAAAGGTGCAAGACAAATAATTTAACACTTAGAGTTGATAATTTTGCTATTTTAACTGTCGTATTTGTGATTAATAATTAATAGTATAAATTTCACTAATTCTTTCCATAAAGGTGCAAGTTATAATTATTTGTCACTTAGAAACAAGTTTCTTTCCCCTAAAAAGGTGCAAGACAAATAATTTAACACTTAGAGTTGATAATTTTGCTATTTTAACTGTCGTATTTGTGATTAATAATTAATAGTATAAATTTCACTAATTCTTTCCATAAAGGTGCAAGTTATAATTATTTGTCACTTAGAAACAAGTTTCTTTCCCCTAAAAAGGTGCAAGATAAATAATTTAACACTTAGAAAACGTGAAACTGTTATTTTAGCACAAAAACTGTTATAAAGTTGTGAATATTACACAAGTGTAATAAAACAAACTTTCAGTTTCATTCAATTGAAACGAGTTCAAAACAAGAAAACCAATTATAACAACCCTGCGATAATTTTGTCAACGAATCTGTAATTAAACGTAAGTAACAATTTGTAACAATTGTAACTTTCTTCTTACTATAAACAATAAATTAAATAAAAGGAATATTTATCTTGTTATTAACGCAAAGCCCATAGTTTTGACAGGTGATCACGATCCTACAATAAAAATAAAGATCAGGCTTTACCAACCTGATTAATCAGCTAACTGGTTTTAAAATCTATTTTAAATAAATTATTTAATTTCATTTAAAAGCCTCGCTCTTGCTCGGAACGTAACATTGGAATCCACAAAAATATCCCATTTCGCAAGACTTTTTATTTAAAGTTGGTTCAAGCCCACCGTGGCAGGTTTACAAATTAAAAACTTTTTTTGCCAATCAAACAAAACATTTTTTTTGAATAGTAGGTGTTTTTTGAGTAACAAATCATAGTTTAAATTTTTTTCCCTCGTGCAATTTTTCTGTAGCTTTAAATTTTGCATTTTCGAGGTGCGACGCCACTTAAACTTACTTGTAGGAAAATTAGCTTGTCAAAGGTTATTAAATTACCTTTTGATCTATAGGTCACACAATAAAATTCAACAAAAATTAAGAGAGTTACACTCAATTAAAGATGAAATTTCATGTCAATTTTGATGATTTTTAGACATTTGAGTAACTTCTACTATTTTTTTCTACATCAAACAGGAAAGAATGTTTAGGTTTTAATTTTTTTATTAATAGACTATATCATTACACAAATTATAAGCCCTTGTGGACCTCGATTGGATTAAAAATGACAATTCGACACTAAATTTAGTGAACGAAACTAATTTCTTTATTTTTAGTGTCCCTTAAACATTTGCAGCAAAAATTAAAGTAATAAAATTTAGTTAAGCGCTAAAGTTACAAAAATCACTAATCAAGAGTTTCTGAAGTCGTAGATTTCGAATGCAATGTTAGTTTTGCATATTTCAAAATGTCGGATCCAATATGGCGGACAAGTTTTTAAAAATCGATTAAATTCGTCTCAAATTCGTTACTCGGGGGTTTTTGGGGTCGCTGATTACAAATCCGATGTCAGATTTCAAAAATTAAAAATGGCGGATCCAATAGGTGCGAATTCGATGGATTTTGAAAAACTCGTTCACCATTATGAATCCATTATTTTCAATTTTTGAAATCCGACATCAGATTCGTAATCAGCGACCCCGAAAACCCCCGAGTAACGAATTTAAGACGAATTTAATCGATTTTTAAAAATCTGTCCGCCATATTGGATCCGCCATTTTGAAATTTAGAAAACTAACATTGGATTCGAAATCTACGATTTCAGAAATCCTTGATTAGTGATTTTAGTAACTTTAGAGCTTAACTAAATTTTATTACTTCAATTTTTGCTGCAACTGTTTGGGATACTACAAATTGAGAATATAGATTCGTTCACTAAGTTTAGTGTAGAATTGTCATTTTTAATCCAATCGAGTTCCACAAGGGCTTAAAATTTGTGTAATGATATAGTTTATCAATAAAAAAATTAAAACCTAAACATTCTTTCCTGTTTGATGTAGAAAAAAATAGTAGAAGTTACTCAAATGTCTAAAAATCATCAAAATTGTCATGAAATTTCATTTATAATCGACTGTAACTCTCTCAATTTTTGTTGAATTTTATTCTGCGACCTATGGATCGAAAGGTAATTTAATAACTTTTCCAATGATACCTCATTTATTATATTTTGACAAGCTAATTATCCTACAGGTAAGTTTAAGTGGCGTCGCACCTCGAAAATGCAAAGTTTGAAGCTACAGAAAAACTGCAGGTGGGAAAAAAATTAAAACTATGATTTTTTTACTCAAAAAACACCTACTATTCGAAAAAAAATGTTTTGTTCGATTGTCAATTTCACTGTAAATAATAAATGCTTTTTTGATGATACCAAAAGTAGAGAGGTCCATTAGCCCATTAGCCTGGGATTTTTCCGGCAGGTGAGATAATCTGAGCGGGAGGTTTGACGACAAGGTAGAATGATGCAAAATTTAGTATATAAGTATAGTATGTAAGAAAATTTCCACGGGGACACTTGTAACGCTAGTATTAACCCTTTAACGCCGGGACTGACACTTTCTTTCAAGCATTTTCAACGTTAATTATTTTTGTTATTAGTCATGCAGAAAATTTTTGGAATAACAGCTTTTTACGTATTTTTATTGCTCTTTCAAAATCTGTCATCAAAATTGCAAAAAACAAAAATTCCAAAAAGTTATGGCCACTTATTTGGAAAAACTGCAAATTTTTGACACTTTTGATTCAAAAATGATTTTTTTTTCATATAACCAGTAACCAGAAAATTCTTCACCATAAAATATCGCGTCCACAATATCTAATCTAAGCTTCAAAGTGATGGACCATAAATTTAAAAATTTTAAAATGGCGGATACAAAATGTCGACAAAAGAATTTTTTTTCACAAAATTGACACCCTGTCGACGCTTTTTTTAATTTTCCTTTTATCTATATGAAAAGGAGTACCTGAATGTCTTTTTTGTCGCTGATTACGAATATGAACTCATATTTAAAAAATCCAAAATGGCGGGTCCAATATGGTGATCGATATTTTTTTAAATTAATCGGATTTATTTAAAAATTGCTACTCGGGGGATTTTGGGGTCGCTAATTACGAAACTGAACTCAGATTTCAAAAATTCAAAATGGCGGATTCATATGGTGGTCTTAATTTTAGAAAATGATTAGATTAGTTTAAAATTTTATATGTTTTTTAGCCATTGAAAATATTTTAATGTTATCTGACTCAAACGTGGAGGTAAACGTACCTTCTCGTCTATTGATAGATAATGCATTTAGGTAAATTAATTAAGTAAAAATTATATAGTTTCTAAAGGAAATAACTGCAAAAACCAAAAGAAAGACGATGCATTTATCTAAATGAATGAATTTATTGATAATACAAAGAAAAGAAGACTTCTCACATTACGTGTTCCTCCTCATGGTTTGAGTCGGACAACATTAAAATATTTTCAATAGTTGAAAAACGTATAAAATTTTAAACCAATCTAATAATTTTCTGGAATTTTGACCGACATATTGAATTTGGTATTTTTAACGTTTGGAATTTGACTTCATATTCGTTTTCAGCGACCCTAAAAACCCCCGAGTATCAAGTTTCATGCAAATCCGATAAGTTTTAAAAAATTTAGTCGACATATTGGATCCCCCATTTTCAATTTTTAAAATCTGACTTTAGATTCGTAATTAGAGACTCCAAAAATCCCCGAGTAGCAAGTTTCAAATAAATCCAATCAATTTAAAAAATATCAGCAACCCCAAAAGGGACGCCTACGGCGCCCTCGACCTACACTCGTGACACAAAAATCACCGTAAACAAATGGTTGTCTTTATACCCTTGTTGCTTTAAATATAACTATTCTTCTATTATTATTGACCACCAAAGAATAAAAAAATTTTCTACACATTCCCTACATTGAAACTATCAAAAATCTAAGTCTAACAGGGGTAAGAATTCCTGAAGTGGGCCCCTATTTTTCATTGGGTCGGTGGATTTTTCTCATTCTTATATGTTTCGATAGCCTATGATGGTATAATAAAAACCTGTAAATAGTTTTCCGAAATTCGAATATTTGCCAAAGTTAT